GTGACCGGATGCACCGTCGCGACGCTTAGCCAGTGACGCCGACGCATGAAGGCGCGTGTCAGCGTAAGGTTCAACGGCTTCGACCACATGGATTAGAGAGGATGGCGCTTGCTTCCTTGCACGACGAATGTGCCACCAAAAGCAGCAATCCGGATTGTACGGATAAACAGACCAATGACAACCAATTGTTTCTCCTGGCCTTACGGACATTTCAGCACGTAATCTCCCTCGAGATACGAACGGGTTCCCGCCAAGAATCCGCTGCACTATGCCGCTGCACCATGAGAAATCCATGGAAAGTAGAATAATGAACGATACCTTCGTGCAACCAAGCCTTGAAAACCCGTAGAGAGTAGCAGTCTACCTCCTCTTCACTCGCTCGCCGGGCCGTCACTGCATTCGGGAGCCCTCCCAAGCATTGCATCTCGAAACGCGCGACAAAGACTGTTTACTGTTAGCTCGTCAAAGGATGTCATTGACTGCAGCGTTACCGACTCGACGTCGCGCTGGCCTACCGATGGTGATTTCCAAGAATCCTTCGAATTCAAGAGTTATTTGCTTCCAACAGCTTTACAATAACCGAGTGGTTGGACACCGTAGGACTGTGGAAGCAACGCTACCGGGAACTTCGGGAAAGAAAACACGACATGAATTGGTGATCAAACGTAGGCCCTGTACTCCAAGTTACTGCGTAACATTGTCGGACTTGCGTTTCTTGCATCCTTCGGGCTGTTTTTCGAGGACGAAGACGCCGACCCCTAGGCCACCAATATTCACGTGCAGTTCCTCAACGATCGAGAGCGCCGCGGTGTTCTTGTTGCCAAGGCAGCCCTTGATGAGTTTCTTGGACATCACAAGAAGCACTAATTTGCCAGCGCACGATAAGTAGTTGCTCATCATAACAAGTACCACAAGAACGCACCAATACGACCGTGGTCGCGCAACACCCGGCACAGCTCGGCCATGCAGCGCGGGTATAACTACGTGTCCAATAAGATATATGAGTGTGTTTGTGTTTGTCGCACCTTGCTGTTTTTCTGGTGACTGCCGCAGCGCACGCCGAACGGCATGTCGATCACGATCTTGTCGACACAGCCGTCACGAAGTGGTAGGCGCTGGCTATCCCATTGGCAAATGGTTGCAGGCCGCGCCGCAACGTTGCGCCCGGCCTTCTCGACAGCGTCTTCTTCGACGTCGCCACCCAATGCAAACACGGGGGCGGCGAGGTACGTGGCGGACGCGGGAATAGTGCCAACGCCGCACATGGCGTCGAGGACAATGTCACCGGCCTCGATACGCGCGAGCTGGAGCAGCATGTACGCGGTCGACGGGCGAAGCGTCGAAATGTACTGAATTGAAGTCATGCTAGGGTGTCGCTCTTCGTTCGCAAGGCGGCTCTTGAAGAAAATCTTGCGCGGGTCCGCGAGAGAAACGCCTTTACTACAGCTTTCAGCCATATTGTCCAAAATGATAGAGGTGCATACCACAGACGACGTGGTTGTGCAGCACGAAGCAGACGACTTCCATGTGGAACTCGGTCAACGAGACCTTCCAGCCGAAATGCTCCAAGAGTGCGCCCCCGACTTCGCCAGCGATCTTTTCCGAATTGTACGCGTGCTTGCCATCGCGGACGCACGACGCTCGGAAGCGAAAGGTCTCGTTTGCGCTCGTTGGAGCGGTCGGTGCGTGCGCTTGCCAAAGCGACAGCGGGCCGACCAGTCGGCCGTCTCGACCAATTTCTATCGCCGCAATGCGTCAAAGGGAGATAGTGCAAAGAG